CGTTAACGCACACCACCACCACCACTCCTCCCTCACGCACCACCAGCCTGGCTCCCGCTCAGCCTTCCCGTCTTGTTCTGAACCTTGGCACCACTTTAAAACCTGTCAGAAAGGAGTCAGCTACGGGAAACCCACTTTGCTAAAGCATTTTCTAACATGCTTGTCAGTTTTGTTTTGCTGGAATTTAAACAGTTAGAGAATGGCCTTTTCTAGGAGTATATAATTCTCTTTATAGTTCCAGGATGCAACTGTGATGAGTAAAGAGGTTGAAGTTTTGAATCAGTACTCTTTGGGATGAAAATATTTTAAATGCTGTTTTAAGAGTGGCTGGGAAAGCAGGTAAAGGACAATAGTATAACATGTTTCTATAGAAACTAATAACTTCTGTACTTCCTTCAAAATTCCATGTAGATTATTTAATCTACTCAAGTTTTCTTGACCTACCTATGTTTAATCAGCACAGCTATATATTGAATTTAATTGCCCATTTATTTGTCCTGAGGTATGGTAGTAACAAGTAGCTGCCAAGACTTGGTTTGTATCAGCACTTAAAAGCCATAATTTGGTTAGCAATACATTGCCTCTAAGGTTTTCTTTGTTCTATTCCCCCTACTTTCCAAAACACTTCAAAATCTTTAGATAATATCCTTCATTTCACTGCCTAGAAAACCTGACAACTCACTGAAATACTCTCCATTGAGGCCATGAGAAAGAGATTCCTAATACATCAGCTTTGGGTTTTCTTCCCTAGTTTAGAAAAGAAGGCATTTTCACTTACCCATTATTTTTGTCCTTCTAAATCCATGTCTTTGGACTTCTAAGCATCAGCATTAAATTTTTTCAATAATGCTTTCTACAGAACACCAAGGTAAACATAACAAATCTGCCCAAACTGGGTAATTCTTCAAGAGAAGTTAAAACCTCTTGATCTCCTCCTGCTCTTCCCTGCAGTTCCATCATAATGTTACAGAATTTTTAGCTCAAGGTAAATATATAGTAGTTTCACATGTGGCTTTTCTAGGGAAGTAGAAAAATCTTACTTCATGTAGAAAAAACTAGTAAAAGTCAAAGCTACTAAAAGAAGGTCATGATCAGGGCAGATGCACATGAATTGCAAGGACATTAGCCAGACCTTCACCTAGAATCCACTTATGTGTGCATAGGAGCAACTGCTAAAACCAAGATTATTCACTTTGGATCTATCAGATATCATTTAAATGCTTAGCAGAAATATGAATTACACTCCTTTTTATCCCTTGTTTAAAAAAAAACCAAATCATTTAGTACATAATCAATGAAAAATTTATTACAAGATAAATATTAGCATAATTTCAGTAAAATTTAGAATTATTTCAAATTAACAAATATAAACATTTTCAAAAATAACACCTCTTATAACAAGGTTTTTTTATACAAAAAGATAATCAATAATTTACTTCTTAACAGAAGTGACTGTACTCCATGAAAATAAGCATTAAATTTGGTTTCCTGACATTGTAAGAAAATAAGATTACTTTCCTAGTATATGTTATTTATGTATAAAAGCAGATATGCAGGTCCAGTAGAAAACATAAAATTTTTGCTTGGTACAAGTTAACTGATTGCCAGAAGTTGGTATAAAAAGAGCTTGGACTTGGTATAAAAAGACTCCAGATCCTTCTCAAAGAAAGTATTACCACATATTTTTAAGAAATGCCAACACGCATCTATTCAAGAATTGGGCTAGATGCTTTTTCATACAAATAACCTATTTGGTCACACCACTGCGATGACTGTATAAGCAAATAGAGGGGCCACCAGCTATGCAAAAGGATCTCTGAGTTTTTGTTAAGGGCAAACTGTAATGAAAACTCTATCTTTAGTCTCTTTATTATTTGTATTATCTGATTTTAACAATAAAGATTTTGTAGCTTGAATTTGTCTGATAAAGTCAAAGTACTCTCTGCACACACTACCCAAGAAGTAATGAAACTGTTGACATATTTTCTTCTTCAAACCTTTTTTTAACACATGCATTTTAACAGCAAAGATTTGCTGCAAGTGTTATCATTTGGAAAGCTGAAAAATATTCCAAAGCTGTATACACTGTCATTGTATTTTCAAGGTGAGAACATATTTTATAACAATGTCTCTTTTGCTTGGGTAAGATTGCTGCCATCTCCAGCACTATTGAGTGTACTCCTTAAATTAGGTAATCACAGGTGATAACCTGAATAGCCATTTCCTAATGACAGTCTTCTGGGCTTCTCTTTACATTGGCAAGATTACCTGTAATCCTTATAAAGTACTGTGAGCAGAAGAACCGAACACACTTTTCAGTATCACATTTTTCAGATAAGCTCTTCATTGTAAAAATGAAGGTTTAGAAATAAGGTGCAGGTGATTAATACAATTTCTACCTCTTCCTGTAGGTATGAAAACTAAAAACCTATGCAAGTGAAAAAAAGGATGTTTGTAATTTAGAAATAACTTTAAGCTAGTACCTTAATGTTACTTTCTAGTCTTGATAGCTTCTAAAGCATCATTAAAATTATTAACAAGTGAGATGTTTCATGAATGTCTTTCAAAAAGGAAGTACTTAAAGATTACACAACACAAATGTATGAAATATCAGTAGCAACACTTTTGTTCTTACAGCTAAATGATGAGGGTTTTTTTGTGGAACAATTCACTACCCAGCCAAAGTGTCCACTTTTACTACACTCTGCACATTAGAGAATGTACAGCCTGCTTCATGAAGAGGTTCTGCTTGCCATATAAATCAGCTGTTAAAATAAATTTTTAATGTTGAAATACTAGTATCCTCTGGCAAAGGTTCTGGACTCACACTTAAAATCCCAAGAACTGGAAATAATGCCTTTCTTATGAGTTTATCATGAACCACACATCTGATTGCTGAAGCTCCTTTCTTGCTCACAAAGTGGCAACAAAGGGAATTATAATGAGTAAACCATGGACTGTGCAAGCTGTTTTTGTGAGATACAGATCTGTGACCACAACTGAGGACCATACTGTGGTACAGATGCTAATCTTCAAGGCCTGTGATAGATTAATAGCTAAATATCTAATAGAGGTGAATACTCATTTTTAGAAAAGATGAAATGGCCAAACTAAACCAAAAGATGTTTTGATGTTTCTCACCCCTTGTTTATAGCCCTTCCTTTATTTTTAGAAATAGTTCATGAGTTGGAAAATGGATTTTGCTTTTATAATGGAATAACACAACTGTTTTGCTGTTAAGAAACAATGATACCCTTCTGGAAAACGAGAAATTATTAAATGGGTTTTGATTAATAAATGGCAATATTAGGAAGAAGTAAAGAAATAAGTGAAGCCCCTTCTTAAGCCTCTAAGTAGTATAAAACAGAATGGAAATTCTTAAATACACATTCTAGGTTTTTTTTGCCTTTGAATAATTTCTTCTTTTATCTTGTATAATTTTTTTAAGGCGGCAGCAACTGTATTCAGGCCTCTAATGAATTTGTTTTTTGTTAAAATGTAACTTGTTCATAGTTTTGAAATAAAAAGGTACATGAATATCCAGGGAATTGCAATTCATTCAGGACTCCTAAGGTAGAAGAGCTAAGACTCTGCTGTTAAAAAACGGATTTTGAAGGAGAATGGTTACCAAGAACCACATTTCATGAAGTTTTTGGTGACTTCTATCCTAGTTTGAGCTAAATAGAACTAATTTTCTAATTAGAGATTTTACTTTTCAGCTCAGTCTCTTCTAAGTGGTTGTACTTTCTGAAACTAACGTCATGTTTCTTCCAGACAGTGTTCACGTCTACAAGTGATAAAACTTGTATGTTATGTAAACATGGCAAGGCCATTGTCACACCATGGGTGCTGAATCAGCATCTGTGGGGAGGAGCGGACAGGACCCGAAACTGACCAACTAGGTGTTCCATTCCACAAACATTATACTCAGTATAAAGCTGAGAGATCACGAGGGTCTCGCTCTCTTGCTCTTCTCTTCTTCTGTATTCTGCAATGGCCGAAGTTTGAACAGAATCCTGCTAGTTTGTCTGCCTCCGATCATGACCCGTGTATTCCTGAATCCAGTTCCTGAATCCTGCTGGTCGGTCCAGTCTGGGACTTTTCCAGTGCCCTGCTCTGCAGAGCCTCTGGTGACATAATTGTCACTGGGGAAGGGGGATATATACAAATATATATATTTGTACATCTTTTTAAGTATTTAGTAATTTTTTCTACTTAGATTATTATCCTGAAGTATTAGTATTATTGTTTCATTAAATCTGTTAGTTTTCTTTTCCAACACATAAGTCTCTCTCCCTTCTTCTCTTCCCCTCCTAAGGCAGGAAGAGGGGTTAGGGGAGAGAGGTTAATAGAGAGCGTCTCTCCAGTATTTAGTGGCCTGTCCAGCACTAAATCATGACAATTTCTATTCAAGATTCATTGGTATATCACCAAAAATGAAAAAAAAAAACCAACCAAAACCAAAACCCAAACTTGCATAAAATTTTATATTAAAAGCTAAAGGTTTAAACAATATTTTCTTCATTTTATATCTCCAATGAATACCCTTCAGATAGACTATCTATAAGTTTGTTTGGCACTAAGTTATAAAAATATAAAGAAAGTCTGAAATATTAAGGCCATCACTAAGATAACAGCAGAGTGCTTATCACTTCAGCAAGGATTATCTTTCATCATGGTGGGAAAATTGCATTTTGTAAACATAGCCTACAAAGATCATTCTTTTCTGCTAAAATTCTCCTATACGAGATGCTGCATTAAAAAAGGACAAGGTTGTTCATTGCCTGACATACTATCACCCTAAGGTTTCTGTCTGTCATGTTAATTATTGAACATTTTCATTCATTACTACTAACAGCTGGCACAGAGGAGTGGCCCACACTTAACTGGCCTTACAGATGGTTTTCCAGAGGAATGCAGGAAAAAAGGCATTCTGGTAGACACAGGTCGCCCGAGTCTGCAATTCATGACAATTCAATAATGAATACTGCTTGAGAGTTTCATTGACTGAATAAAACGTTGTCCTCCTCATATGCTAAAGCTGGGTCTTCCATGCTCTCCAGTAAAGTATGACAGATTTCATATTCACAGTGTGGTAATGACGGTTCTTTGGCAACAGTAGACATCAACTGACTCCAGGTGATACTAGTATTTTTGAAAGCGTGCAATAGAAAAATGCCTATGATGATACTGCAGAATCCACTCAGGGTTCCAATGATATCACCCAGGTCCATACTATTCCACTCCTTGAACAGGATGATGGAGCATGTCACAACCGTTGTGGTGAAACACACGTAATAAATAGGTGTCACTAGAGATGTACTGAACACGTCCAACGCTTTGTTGAGATAGTTGATCTGAGTGCTGACTGACAGCACTAAGACGCCCACCAAAATGTAAACCAATGGATGTCGATAAACTGGCTTCCACTCCAGCATTTGTTTAATGGCAATGCCCAGGCCTTTCACGGATGAGACTGAGAAGGCACCAATGAGTGAGCAAATTAAAATGTAGATCAGTATATTTGTTTGACCTCTCCTTGGAGCCATGATAAAAATCAACATGAGGGCAACAACTGTTATGAGAACAGCAAATGTAACAAATGCTGTAAAAGAGAGGAAAGGAGAGTAAAGTGCATGAGATAAAATATCAGACTACATCCCAGTATATGCTAAAAGTTACTTGGTGTCCCAAACACTTCCCTATGAACCGTAGCACAAGTTCATTGCAATTGCATACAGACCTGGATCTTGCAGCTTTCTTTCCATCTCATCTAGTGAGGTGACTTCCTCCTCCTCAGGGGCATGAATAACCATGACTGTTGACCCCAAAATGCTCAGTACACAGCCCAGCTTTCCATGAATATTCAGCTTCTCATTTAAAAAATAGGATGACAATATAGCACTGTTTCGCAAAATATAAAGAAAAGGTTCAGTCCACCAGCCACGCGAGACATTCACAATCTCTCTGTGTAACATGACAGTAATTCAAAACCTCTTTTGATTTTGGATATATGGGAAACCATATTTTAAGGAGTTTTGCAGGAAGGTTCGTCAGGACCAAGAAGATCAGGTCACATTTTAGGGGAGTTAGCATATTTTGGAAAATGTTCCTTCCCATCCTTCCCTGGGCTCTCCCACCCAGGCACAGTTTCTGCCTGGCTTGCCAGGACTCCCCCAAAAACACAGAAAAGGCACGTCTCACCCTCCTAAGAGGACTGACCCCAGGGTCTCCAAGGGGTGCAAGATTTAACCTAAAGATAATAACATGGCCTAACTAAGGCCACGTCACAGGACACACAGCTAGCCAGCTAGAGCATAACCTTAAGCACAGACACAGGCTTAACAGTGTGTGGACACACTCATAAATAGTTTCTCAAGCTGCTGATAAAATCACAACTATCTTTTCACATGAGGGTAACAAGCTCACTGACATGAAGTTCTCACAACCTCTCTGTTTCGTGAAAATTGGAAAGATTGCTATCCACATCAAAGGAGAGAAAGTTAAAACTCAGGCTGTTTTGAGAAGCAGCAGCCAGGCAGGCAGTTAGTCTGCAGCTACCTACATGTTGATCCCAGCACATCTGTAGGTGCCAGAGTTACACTGGTTTTGCTATGATGGAAAGGCTGCATTTACAGCAGTTAGATTAGTGTAAAAAATACGTGTCCCAGGTTGGTTTTAAATACAATGTTTCATATAGCATACTCAGGTCTTAAAAATAAGAGTTTTACATTTAAATTACAGTAATTCCATTTAGCTAATAACTTATTTCCCAGAATGTCTGTTGTAAGCATAATCCATGTCTTTTCCGCTTCTGTGATAGTCACATTAATGTATATGCTTAAGTACTGGGAAATTATTAATTTCTTCATACATAAGAAATAATGGGTGTTTGAAGGGCATTCGTCTCTCAAAAGAACCACAAATTCTAATTGTGGATATTAAAAAAGCTAAAATTTCCTTTGCCTCCTTTTCAGAAGGAGTTGGAAAAGACCAAACCCAAAATGCTTACTAAGTGTGCCTTAATAAGAAATTATGCTCCTACAAAAAAAAAAAGAAAAAAAAATAAATTTGGGAAAATATTTTAATGAGGAAATACTGTATTTACTTTTAACATTTTGCCACAGCTGAACAACAGAATAAGACTTTTTAAGAAAGCTTCAGTTCTCTAGGAGTAGATGAATTGCAGCCTTCTCCCACTGTGCATCAGCAGTAGACTTGGTATATGCTGATAAGTAATACTTTATAATATAGGTGGAAGGTTGTTGGGAAAGCATATATTAGTCTTTATAACAAGACTTCTCATTCCCTCTGCCCAGAAAATTCAGTTCTAAATAAGCCAGGGATCTTTACACCATGGAACAAACAGCAATTTTTTTGTCCATATATTGCTTTTGAGTTCTCATATTTAAATTCTCTACTTTCAGCCCAAGGTAGGATTTTTTCCTAACACAGTGAATAGTTCATTTGTCAAGATTTGCTCCCTGTTTGTACCAACCTTATGAGAACACTCAGTGCACCCAAGGGGGTAACCAGGGTTGCAGGCGCAAAGGCATAGGCAGCAAAGTTTACAGCTTCTCCTAGTCCCACTGAAGAAGAAAGAACATTTGAATCAGGTTGAAGGGGGGGAATAATAGACATTCTACTACAAATATTTTGTATGACAGCTATGATAGGAAATATAAAAAAATTATTTTTTTCCTACACTATACATGCAAATATTCCTTTCAAAATTATCTTAATCTCCTTTGGACATAATAAAGGCTGAAGAAAGTGAAATAATTTTCCCTAGGTAGTCCTAGAAACTGGACAGTATCAATCCCATTGCTTTTGACTGGATATTAAAGAAAAGGTTGTTGTTCTGCGAAGAGCTCCAAAGGGCACACGCAGTCTTTGAGAGATGAGCTATCAGAATGACTTCTGTCACAAAGGTGATGGCAAAGGCATTTCTTTTAAGTGAAGGGAGTGAAAAATCAGGGAATAAATCTATTTAAAGCAATCTGCTTTATGTAGTATTTACATATAGGCTGGGAGGAAAGAAGTTACTTACTTGATAGCAATCCAGCCCACCAAAGCCATTCCTTCAAATAAGAATATCCACCCTGTCCTGAAAGCAGAAAAATAATCTAATCTTAGAAGAAGATCACCTTACTGTAATAAACCAAACTACAGCTTCAACATTTGCCTCTAGTCCTGCAAAGTACTGAAAGAGCATGTTATCTGAATGCAACATGAAGAACTGATTTTGACTGACATCTTTATTAATCACTCTACTACTTTGTGATTTGGACTTCTGAAAAATGATATTTGACTAAAGGGAAAGTAGCAAGCAAAAGTAAAATGTCCATGAAGATTGCTGGTGAGCTTAAATGCTACAAAGTGCTTTCCCAGGTCAGATTCAATATATTCATACACAGTCAGCTGCATTTGAACTGATTACACTTTGAATTTGGAGAAATTAGAAAGGAAAATGTCACTGCATGCATTAACTTTTTTACATAAAATATAAGTATATGGAACATTCAGTAACATATTTGTTTCAAATAACCAAATTCTCTGGAACAGTGTATTGCAATAAACACAGCAAACAAAAGAAAAACTGCTAATGCTATATATCTAATTCCATGCAAAGAGAATGGGTCCAATGGGTCTTCTAGCTCTTCTTCTGTTGACTTTGATGAAAGAATAGTGGTACTAACTGTAGAAACTTTGGTAATAAGTATCCTTTCTACAGCTCACTGTACTTCTTGCTTTGTTTTGGTTTTGGTGTTTGTTTTTTTCTTTTTAAAAACATAAATTGAGTTACCATTTTAAGGTTCTATCTCGAATGGGGGGGGGGGAAGAGAAATAAAGGCATTTTGAAGAGTAAGATCAAAGGACAATTTTATTTGGTATCTAACTGCTGCCAGGGAGGAAATATCACCAACTTACTAGATTTAATACCCACTGCTGCTCCCATAGCCCTAGGAATTCTGAAATCCCAGTCTCTGTAATCACACACAGAAAATTAATACTGTATTTCCATCCCTAGCCAAGACAGGACTTCTGATCACTGCTAAAGGTATGATGGATTTCAGCTACAATGACTTTAAATGTGTGATCAGTGATTTGAACCTTGATTTCGCCAAGTTACAAGAGGCACCACTGCTTACCAGCTCGGGGCACTCCTTTGTCTGCCAGTTTCAAAAGTCCTTTCTTCTTCAGTATGAAACTAGAACCAATAAAGATACTGGAACCTATTGCCAAAGCCAAGCCAACATAGAGGCGGTATTTGCTTCCAGCAGGTGTGGAAAAGCTCCAGTTTGTTTTATTGAGAGTCTCGTCCATAGAGGTGAGGAGAGAAGAGCGGGATTCAGATACGTTGATGATCTGGCACCATGCTTGGCAGGAGTCATGGCAAGCAAAAGAGAGCACAGCACCTGGGAGAAGAAAAAGGAGGACAAGTGCATTTGTAATTTCTGATGGTGCAAATAATTCATAGATTCCCAAGTCATTACCCACTCCTGTAATTCACAGATGTGTACCTTATTTTATATATATGTTTTGCACTACATTGCCTCAGTCAAGCGATTAGGGAAATACCAAGGAATGCAACACTAAAATATTATCTTCAATGTAAAATTCACCTTGAATTGTAAAAGCTAACCTGAAATCTCAAGAAGAAAGGGTTCTTTTGTGTTGTGCAGAGACCATATGCCCAGATTAAAAACATACAGCCAAATCTATGATTTCAGACTTTGCCTGCTAGAGTAAACCTGATGTTATTCCAGGCTTCTGCTTTTACATTTGCAGCTGAGATTTGGAAACAACAAATAAAAAAGAGAAAGAAAAAAATATAGGGAGCAAACCCTTGCTGCATGTGGGCATGTTAATACATTTTATTACAATTGTTCAGTGACTACTGTGTGAGCCAGACCTTCTTTAACCACTTGTAAAATTTTGAGGTGGAGGCCTCATTACACCTCATGGCAATTTTCATCTGATCTCAACAACCCCCAGCTGCAGAGCTGGGCCATCCTGAGCTAAAGCTGAAGCTTTGCACTCCCCACCAGCTAAACCTTATCAGCATCACTACGATGACAGGCTGTGGAAATGACATAATTGCCATCAGCCCAGATGTGTTTTTTAAAGGAAGAAGAGGTATTGCATTTCCAAGAACAAAAGAAGTCGTTATTTTGCATGGGGAAGCAGGGGACAGGTAGCAATGCTGCAACAGGGCTTACAGTAGCCTAGACAGAAGTTTCACAGTTCCTCATAGACTGCAGCACACAAACAGCATGGATCAGAGAATCTAGGCTGGAATAGCTTTTAAGGACAACCTTTTCTGGAAAGAAAGGTTTTATTGCAAAGGCATGTCAACGTATGGAACAACAGATACAGAAGTACAAAAGCTCAGTTCATTGTGAATCATATAAAGCACTGGATGCAACAAATAATTTTGCTTTCCATGTTTCCCCTGTAATTAAAATGAAGGATTCATTCAGCTGACTGGTACCATCAGTAATACACTCACCTTTTTTTTTTTTATCAACTGAAAAAAAGACTTGCAGACTTGGTAGAAAAGGATGTGCCTCTGTGTCTTTTCATACCTAAGCTCTGGAAATATTAATGTTCTGTCAAAAGTACTTCACTGCACTATTAGCAATAAGCAGCCTTGGATAATTCACCTAATACTGCTTAGGAAGAAATATTTAAAATATCAAAAGTATTAAAAACGGTATGAAATTTGAAATCATATCTTCATTTCCAGCTGACAATGCTGATACCAGCACTGGGAAATACTGTCCTTTACAAATAAGGAACTGAGACTGAATACCTGCTCCCTGTTGCCCTGTGCCATACTGTAAAATAAACAAACTACAGGAAGTTATAATTTGATTTTTTTTGCTGTACAATCACATTTCCTTGTTTGCCAAGAGAGCTTCTATGTAACCACGGTTGTTTGGTATGGCTAAGCCAGACTTTGTAAACATGGTCCCACAAGATGGCTATGTCCAGATCCTGAAGATCCTTATATCTACATCAAATTACTTTTGCATAGCATGTAGGATAGACAGTATTCTGCCATCTTATCATTATTAGAAGTTGCAACAGGATTATGTAAAACAAATGGAATTTGCATTTGGATCTGTAAGTATTTTAAAATCCTAAAATATAACATAGTCTTAGAAGAAGAAAATTTTGCATATACTTCGGTTTTGACATAACTATTAAAGATTAAATTACAAAGAAAATTAAAGATAAATCCTTTAAATATAAATGTTACTCTTCTCACTACAAGGCAAAAAAGCAGGGAGGTTGCCAGTGAATTAAATCCCTTACCACTCAATACCTTAAAACTGGACTGGTGACGGTTGTACCACCACCGCTCTGCTACTACTGGCTTTATGTGAGAAGCAGCAACAGTTCTTGCCTTTAATGAAAAAGCATCAAGACAAAAAGTCTTAGTAAGTATGGTCTTTTAGCTACCTGCAATGGTAGAGGCAGCTTTTTATCAGTGTGCTGGGTTTCTAAAGTGAAGAAAATAACACTCTTCTCCCACCTTGTGGGTGTACTGTGAGTGTAGTGAATGGTGTACTTTCATGTAGCTGGAGGTGAATGGCAGTCTTATTCCCTTCTATGTGATACTACTACTTTATCTACTGATTCTTAAGTTTTCCATTCCATAGCAGACTCTAAAACATCCAGTAATGAAAATTTAATCATGCCATCTGCAGTAAGTCACTTGGTGACTGCCAAAGGATGTTTCTTTCCTTTCTGAAATACAATCTCTGCTCACATTAACAAAGATGTTGGATTTTTCACCTGTTCCATCTGCCAGCTGAGAACAGTCATTCTGAACACTTGCGATCTCTGTTGTGCTGAGAAGTTTTTTCTAGTTTTAAAAAACATGTCATTCGTTCCACTTGCACATAAGGTTGTATGTCACTCCACTGATCAAAGAATCACCTGAGACCTGGGAAGATGAGGCTAATCCAGGAATTATTACTACTTCATTGCCCACTGCCAACAGTCTGAAGATTACCTGGAAGGACCGAGGACGGTGACAAATCTCTGAAGCTGCCTGGCTTGCTCAGAGCCTAGTTTCTGTAACTGAGTAAGTTTCACCTCCCACTTCGCAACGTCAACAAACATGAATCTGTCAGCAAAACTCCTTCTTGCAGAAACAAACTCTCCAAGCTCTGACTCAAGGCTGAGAGCAACAGGAAACCAGTCTGGGTTCAGGAGGCCACGGTTGTAACTTCTAAAGTGTTTTTACGATTCACCTAAATCTGAAAATATTTTCTCAAACACCTAAATATTCTCTATCCAAGACGGGTACATCAGCCAGCCCAGTACTACACACTCCTTGCTGGCATTTTGCAGTGAGACTAACGTATCCTGTGATTCATTAGTGACAGCCAGTACTCAAGATGCTGATCCTAAGACATCTGGAAAACTATTTTCTTTGATTAGACATGTAAATTGTCCATTTTTATGGTGCTCACGAGTCAGCTCACACATGGCAGGGACATGAAATGTTTTTCTTGGTCATCTGGGAAATACCAAGCCCACTTTTGCCAAGGCCTGGTTGCTGGGGCTGAAAGCCCAGGTACTGAGAAGCAGCAAGGGATCATTCCCCGGCACAGCCTCAATTGTAGAAATGAACAAAACATACTGAAAAAAGGGTTCAGACACGAGAAGGAGCGTAGGAACCTCCCTTGCACTGGCAGCGCCACAATGCTCGGAAATTAACTGCATGACGTCACGGCGGAGCAAAGTCTTACTATGCAGAAGTCATGACAGCCGCAGGGGCAGCGTGGGGGGCTCCAGGAGCGATGTCTCGCCGGTGCGCAGATACCGCGCCCTCGCCTCCGCCCATTGGCGCGCACCTCCCGCGC